GATGGCAACGATTATTTCATTGTGTAGGAAGCTGTTAGTCACGTACCCTGTCACTGACAAAACTATCGATGTTCCATCATAATAATAATAATACATTTGTGTTTTCAGCTTTTATTTTTATCGCAAAAAATAAATCGACCTGATATTTCATCGTCAAAAATTCAAGATGGCGCAGAAGAAATTATTTAATGGTCGTAAATATGCAGATTAAAGCGTAAATATTCATGCTTTTATGATTTTATAAATTTTAGTTTGTTTTTATATTAAATAAACTGACAGATTGAGATAATCGAAAACGACAGAATAGTTTTTGGCGTTTCATCAAACTATTAAACTTTTTAATTTGTTAGCATCAGTTGCATAAATTCTTTTTTAGACCGGTGAAACTAAAAGTGAATTTATGTATTCTAGCAGAAACACACATAAATTTTCGAACGATTTAAATTGCGCCAATTAAATCGAAATATTCAACTTTTACTCGGTTTCGATACCGCGGTCGGGTTTTGATTACCCATAATTGTACGTAGGTACAAATTAAATACTTTTTTCTGCACTTTTACTTAATTAACGTTGACACACACATTGCGTCACTTTACCGTACGAGTGCAGTAAAATTTTTGTGGTTGTAGTTAAAAATGTGCGCATGCTCATTTCGTGGTGCTATCATTAGCTTAGCCGCGACTTTATTATAATAATTAGGTGGAGACCTCAAATTCCGCCACCTGTCTAGCTTAAAAGACCTCCATGTTGACTATATAAAAGATTACTTTACACATTCAGCTGCCTAAAATATCGCTAAGCCTCAAATTCTCTTCTCCGCTTTTGTTTCAACCCGCACATGTTATTGTTGGAAACATTTTTTGTTCCTTGGCGGCATGAAAATTACAATCTCACATTCAAACAAGTTGTTTTTCTTTTCCAATGAATGAAAAATCCACAAAAGCTGGCATTCAAGAACAATATCGTAGAGTAATACTCCGAGAATAAACGATTTTTTCAAAAACATGTTTGAATGGGGGGAGCTTCCGCCCCAGATTTTAAACAATGTTGTTTTATGGATCAGATTACGTAAACATGTTTAAAATTTTGTATTGCGAACGATTCGAGACGTGTGTCGACGTTGTTCGTGTCCCGTCGGTTGTCATTTTTGCGTGGTGTTAATAGGTAAAATATGCTATAATCGATTTTGAAACGCGATGATTTTGAGGAATGTCGCAGTAGGTGCTAACAACTCATTGTCACCGACTGCTGAAAAATAACAAATGATAGAGTTAAAATCGATGGAACTGTTAAAGAAACAGTGAAAGAGTGGGATGAGGGTGAAAAATGAGGAGAATTATAGGATCTTAAAAACGTGAAATCAAACTTTCTTGCCAAAGAATTTTCTTAAGCAGGTCTTCTTCCTTTATCATTTTATCTAATATTCGCATGTATCTCGGAGAATGAACCGCCTCATGAACTATAAAGCCACAGTTTTATATCAGGCGAGAGAAACATTTCTCAAGTACTGTTAAGTTTATGAACAACGTCTGAGAAAACATCTCGCCATTAACCTTAAATTTCACAGTATTTTAATTGAAGGTTATAGTTGGGCTCCAACTTGTCGCATGATAACCAAAATTATAATAATAATTATTATACTAAAATCACAGTGCTGTCGGTTGTAATTACACTACGCCGAAACAGTTGGCCATTTACAAAAAAAGGATGCGAAACGGTAGTTCTAAAACCGAGCTAAGACGAGTAGCACGTTAGCGCTAAGCTTACGCATTGGCTAATAAATTACAAAAAAACGAAAATAGTACGTTTGCGGCGTTTTTTCATCTCGGTTTCCTACGGCACATGCGTTTGCGACGGGTTTCAGCGTTTCATGAATCAATACATACATCATCAGGGTAACCGTGAATTAACTATCGAACTACGAAACTAACTAGTATCCCGTAAAAGACAAGTTTAACGACAAGTTTTCTATTACTAGAAATCGCACATTGTTTTCAGCATTCTGCCTTTTTCTCTGTACGATTTCGATGTTGAGTTTATGCCCACATGTAATCAGTCACTTGAGCGATATAATAACAGACATAAAATGCACGAGCAAGTTTCGGTTTGGTCTGTCGCTAACATGCCCTGATATATGATATCTGCTATATTCAGTAAAACCCTAATCACAACAAAAAACACAAACCTATTAAATCGTTTTAGCCAAATTATTTACGGTTTGGCTTACAAAATCCTGATAGCACTAATACGATAATAAAAACCGATTTTTTTATTTGAATATTGAAGTACACCTTGTATCTTTTATTGTTGTTTGATATCTACTCAAAATTTATCAAATAATCGATAAAAAAGCACCATGCGACTATTCTCGCACTGTTTGTATTGATATTATTGGATTCATTGTGTACAGTTCTCTTGTAAAGTATTCGTGTTCAATCAAGCAGATATTATGCATTTGTTTAGGACTATTGACAGTTATAGTAAGCTCCGCTATCATAGTCAGAGATAAACATTTCCACAGCGCTGAAGGCGAAAATTTTATCCACTATAAACAGTCAATATAATTGTTGCAAAATTCGTTTTTGCAGAGGGGTACGTAATAACTAATAAGTGTGCCGCCTTGTAAAAAACCCACGTATACTACAACACAAGCATGAATAAAAAAATATGAGCGACACAGTGAGATTGTCGTGTTTTTTCCATGTTTGACGAACGATTAATTTTGGCGTTTCACAGTTCGTTGAACACGAAAATGTACGTTAGCTCTCCACCACAAAATTACTCTGAACTTTGTTATTTTTAGAGTGAACGTAGTTATCCCCACCAAAACCGCCGTGACGTCATTTCAGAAATCGCATCGCTGTTATTGACGCCGACTTTGTAAAAGCAAGGTGTGAATGATTTACACATTTTTTATTGAATCACGGCTTTCGAGTCCGTAACAGTGAACAATGAAAAAGTCGCCACCATGTATAGCGTAGTTGTTGACATACTAAAAGCGTTCGTGAGGCAGGATTGGCGTGGTTTAGCTTGGTGTGCATGTTATAAAAGTGTGCTTTCGATGTTTTACAACAAACATGTTTTAACTTTGATATAACTATAAAATTTTTAAAAGTTGTAGTTGTACATTTATTGTTATGGTGAAGTGTGTATAAGTGTGTTATGTGTATCGATCGTGTCACCTTTATCCACATAATTCTAGCTATGGAATTGTTTATACAACTAATACGTGTAGTATATGTAGCCTAACGTAAACATTTGCCAATCGTATCCACTTTTATTACCTGTCACTTAGAACCATAGAAACATTATTAGCGCGATTTGTTCAGCGTTCTTCGTCAAAATATATTGAAAATCTATATCCCTTGAAAACGAATCTGAAACTTCAACCGAGAAATCGACAATTCCCATCGGAATTTCGGTCCGAGATTCCTAGTATGGATGCTTAAATCCAAGTAATAATAATAAATATAATAAAAGCGTCCAGGTGTTGTTGAGTATCTAGATCACGCGGTTGTACTGTCTCTAGGGTAGCTTTCAATTCCCTTATTCCCATTTAACCTGCCATAAGGAGTTAAGCAGGATATATTAAACACCTTACAATGTCACAAACATTGTCCGACACGTGAACTAGTTGTCTTCAGTGTTAATTTTAGAAGTTTGATGTAAACGTGCACAGTCAGTGGTTGTAAATTTTTCAAAAACTTGTACATGACGTGTCGACTACTCGTTATACTTTATTAGAAGCGATCCGATTATTGTGTCTGACGTGTGTCGCGACGTCATCGGTGTAGTGTTCTACAAATATATATTTCAACTAGTTTTAAGGGTCGTGATTTAATTTTGAAAAGTGGATGTATCTATTATTAATTTCGTGAAACTTTGTCGTTATAATGAATAATTAGTGAGATAAACGGCTTGTGTTTCTTCAGAGCGATGTTGTATTATGAGTAATTTAAATTTAATAGAATAACTGTTTACTAAATTCTTATTCAAAAACTTAGAGTAAACCGAAGTGTGTATAATATGGATAAAGCGTGTGTATTATAAAATAAAATTATGGGGGAGTAAGTAAGCTTTAACGGTGGATGCAGTGTACATACTACAACCGTATTTATAAATTATAACCTTAATAAGAACTACTTAGAGATTTTCGCAATTGTTAACAGCACATTCACAAGTTCGAATTAGTGCCCCTAACTCGATTACGATAACGTATAGGATACGGTTCCCTAATTGTCCCTCTACTCGACTACTTCAAATGGCTCTCTCGATACTAACTACACTTGCTACTTTACCTACTCTAGCTAAACTGCAATCTGCAAAAGGTTCACTTAACACACACATTCCGCTATGGTTTTCGTTAAAATTTAGAAAGGCGCCAAGTCGTTCCAAAAAACAAAATATGATACACTAAGTTAAGAAATTTATAAGAATAACTGGGGATTCTGGCAAGAATTCCCTCATTTTATTTACGGGTCTCTTTTAGGTCTACATTTCATCTTTTATCCGGTTTAAATCTACAAATAAAACGCTATTAAAGAACAAATTGAGACATGGAGAATTATCCTCCTACATGTTCTACCCCAGGACATCTTGTATGTATTTTAATAATCAGCGCAGTTCCGAACGCGTAAAAAAATCGAGAGCGGGCATAAAAGTTTGATGCACGCCGCCCCTAAATAATGTCTGTTTTGGTTGTTGATAGAATCGCAGGTTTTTACTATGCAACCGACAATTAGCGATAACGATGCAAACAAATGTTTGTGATCGCCATTTTGCGGTGCTTATCCTCGAACAATGTGCGTCAACATCAGTTTAATATCATTCCAAATTTACCAAATAATAATTCAAATATGGCGTAATTATTTTTACGACTCGGTTTTGGTCCGAATTTCCCGGTTCCCCTATTCGAACTCGTGACGTAGGAGTCGTGCGCAGTTCGGCGCTGTTCGTCGCGAGAATCCGATTTGTGAGATGTAGTTTTAGTTGAGTTCTTGCCGCCGCTGCAGTTTGATGTTGAACGGTAGAACAGCTCGACAACATCAAGTTGAACGCATCTTTGCCATCATCTGCAGTTGTGCACTGGGAACTGGAATTTTTGACATAAACACTACCTCAAATTGAGCGTATCGCCGAGTTAAATTTAAAAAAAGCCATTACATCGATGCCGTTGGTAGTTTCGTAGTGGCCGCAACTTGGTGTTAAACTTGCCCAAACTACATTTTAACTTCGCCGAGAATTGGATGGTGGCCGTAAATGGGGCTGCATTTCGCCGAGAAACCCAGTGATGGACTGTTTACTTAGGAATCGCACCAAATGGAACTTGCAGTAAAATTTTTAAATGCATACTTTCGAGTGTTTTAAGTGTTTCTCAGTGTTTTATGGTGTGCCTTGTGATTACATACAATATGTACACCAAAGTGTTTGTGTGATAAGTTGCTGAGGACTACGTTAAAGGTATGTTTACGTTTCGCCTTTGCCGGTCGTCGAGCGAATATCTCAATTCCGCCGAATTATTTAAATGCGCATTGTTGCCAACGCGACCGAAAAATACGTCAAAATTACCAATTACAAAAAGTTTTGTCGGCATCGCATTAAATAATGGGGGAACTTCTTTTAATCTCGTCATCAAAGCGGTAAAATGGCTGCCGTCGGATGTCTTTACCTTGCAGCAAAAGTGCTTTTCTTTCAACTTTCAAATCTTGGACCTATATTTTAGAAATTACGTAAAACGTTTACCGCTCGTCCATTGTTAGTTAAACTTTCGTTCTTCTCCTCGCTTAAAACAACGATCCTATTGTCAAAAAAATATGTTCAAATCACTAATGAAACTTGTATGTCATTATTTCTAGTCGTTGGGCAATTTAATGAACGTGTTCGAATCTTTTAGATGTTGGTGGTCCCTTTTGTTTGTATCCGAGAAAGCTTATAACATCATATAATTAACATTAAATATTGCAGGACATGATATTTCTTTAACTCGCATTAGAATCAACGACAGTCGCATTAATTTGAGTAATTTTTTCTGTTTCTTTTTTTTTATCGTCACGAGAGTGGGGGGAGGTATTTTTATTTGTCATAAATTCCGAGAAGCCATAAATATGAGACATGGCATGGCTGAGTATTATTTTCTTTTAGTTCTATTATTTTCTAACCGCAATTAGTTGTGTTAATATTGTCCCCCCGACGCATCTACCTGCTACAAAAAAAAGAACGAACGGAAGTTGTTTTTTTACATTCTCATTCACGATAATAATTATAGGATGCGGTAAAATTAAGGTATTTTTAATTTAATCAAAGCAATAATTTAATAGTTCTAAAATAGAAACATGTTTTATCGAGCACGAATCTACATAATGTTGCAGACGTGGTTGAGATCCTATGTGGCAACGCAGCCTCGGTGCACTCGTCACTTTATTTAATTTTTTTACATTTTTTCAGTGTAGCGCCGTCGAAAACAAAGTCGAAAGAAATTGAAATGAACGTCTAATGAATTATATATTATTATTAATTTTTTATATAACGCCAACACTCGGGTTTAATGTTTCACTTTTAAAGTATCTTACATAATTTATTAATCATCACTTTAAATATCTCAATAAGTAACGCAGCTTAGAAGAAAAGCGGACGGACGATAAAGTAAACTTCTTCCTTCCGAAACACGGCGTTATGAATTTTTTTTTATGCATAATTTTTAATTTTTTTCGCTCTCGTTTAATTCTCGAATGAGCAAAAAGACTAACATTAACCCGAGGAAGATACAGAAGTCTAACTCGGTGGATCATAAAATAAACAGTTACAAGGGGTTGAAAAAGTGTGTTTGCTTTCTTATTTATACACCAATTAAAAACCTCCCCACCGGGGAACCCGAACTCGACTGCTTAGCTGGAATATGTATGATTGAAACACGAATTGTTGCTCGGAAACAATTGCCGGTAATGGGCTCATTATTTATTTCTTTCAGTGATCGGTTGTGTAATAGAATCGCCCGTTGTGAGATTAAAACTTGTTACGGACATACTTTGCGTCGAGTCGACGCCGCCCGAGTCTCGAACGGACAAGAGGATCCCTAAGGGTTGAACTTTCTCTTTATCCACATTCTAATATGAACGTATTCGTTTCTGTTTCAGGTTTTCGTATCACCTGTCAAAAATCAGAAGTACGGTCAGAATCACCCATTGTTTGTGACATCATCAATGTTAATGGTGATTCTAAACCTACTCTATCTTTTTTCAGGCGAAGAGAAAACCTGAACTAAGAAGACGACAGCATCTCATCTTGCAACGCCAAGACGTCTGATGCGTATTTAGATACATGATTTGCTTCTCGAACTTTCGCAACCTGTTGAAGATGGCGTGATACGAAAGTACGAAACGAACGGAAGGAAAAATGAGTAGATGCGAAACGGAGAAGAACGCAAAATGCATATTAAATTTCTGGGGAAAAATTCGGCACTAGTAGTACCTCCCTCGCACCTGAAGCACAATCTAGTACAATGTCTCACATGTTTTGTAAAAGTTGATTATCCAATGGTTCCAAGTTGACTAGTATAGAATTTGTCAGTACTATGAGTACCGCTGTATTGACCGAACTAGAAAGTAAAACGAATAGCGAACCTCTGTGTTGTACAAAATTTTAAACCAAAAGCCAAAGCCAACTTGTTTTAGTATAGTTTTGCTGATTACGCCTCTAGTAGTACCACCAATAGACAGATGAACGGAAAACCGGAGAACCTCAACTCCGGTCCAGGTCGGGCGTTCACTAATTCCAATTGTTTTACAAAAATCAAAATTCCACTACAATCAGTTGACTACTTATACTAAACCAAGTTGACTAGTATAGAGGGACAGCGCAAGCGCACCTCAATTCTGAGCAAAGTAGTTGTCAGTACTATGAGTACCGCTCTCTTGACTGAACTATTTTAAATGCAAGTTTATACCAAGAAGAGCCAAAGTCAACTTGTTTTAGTATAGTTTTGGTGATTACGTCTCTAGTAGTACCACCAACAGACAGATGAACGGAAAGCCGGAGGACCTCAACTCCGGTCCAGGTCGGGCGTTCACTAATCCGATACCTTAATACGGTCTTATTTATAGTCGACGTTTGTTTCTATTTGCATGTATTTTTAAAATTGGAGTTAAGGCAAAGGATTGAGGCACTCCAGGTATCAGTGTATTAACGGGAAATAAAAAGTAGATCTGCGGTGGCGCGTTAGTCACACAAGAGAAGTAAAATCACTCACGTCGAAAGTATTTTTGTTGAAACAGTTTATTAATCGACCGTCCAGGTGTATAAATTTCGATAGCATTTTATAACTTTTATTGTTTTGTTTGGCATAATTACCATTAAATGTGGTTAGAGCCGACTCTCCTCTTCTATTTCAAAAGCAGAACGCCGCCGTGCACGTATAAATAACACAGCAGACATCCGAGAACATTCTCAATTATTACTACTGTTAAATGCACTTTTATAAATTATTCCGGCGAAGAATCCTCCTACCGAAATTAAAAGCAACGCAGACCGACCTCTTCACATGATGGAAATCGCGAAGCCGGCACCCGACCACAAAACGGTCGGAATTCTACCTATGTGGAGTGCCCCCCTCCCCCCACCCTTCCCCCCCAAAAAGAAAACAGCCGGCGGATTTCGGGGGAAAAACAAGACGCGACCACCGAATAAATTCGTAGCGAGCGGCACAGGATCAAATACGATTAGAAAATTAGATCGTGGCGGAGCATCGGGGAAAATCACGCGAAAATTAATGACGTCACAGTCGAGTGGGCGGATTTTCTTTATTATTTTTAGGCGAGTCGCGGGCGTGCTTCAGATCGCGAATTTGTTCCTTTGTCTGTCTTTTTTTACAAGTATTTATTATTTATGTCTCGGCCGTTCTCCTTGTTTCTCTTGTGGCCGGTTTGTCGTAAACGTATTTTCACGTGCTCAGGACGTTCAATAATGTCCTAGGGTGGCGGCGTTTCCGACGAACGGTTTCCCCAAAATTCCCCAAGGAAAAACAATTATTGTCGCTTTTATAATTTGGCAGGTTGTAATTTTTGCGTTTTATTAAGAAGATGAGCGTTCTCGGGCTCTCCGGGATAAATAAGGAGGAAGCCGCTGCGAAAATAATAATAACGTATGTCTTTCTCGCTGGAGAAAGTCGGCTCGCGATAATTATTTCGAAATTCGCCCATAATGGTAATAGTAATGGTAAGCGGCAGGTGAAGTTTGGAATGATCATTCTTCATTCTGGTGTCAGTATTGTGCGGGTGCGAGAGAGATAGGAGATCGCGTTTTAGTATATACTAAATCAGCGATAATCCCGTCTTTACTGAATTATTAACAATTGTGTGAGCAAGGCAGTTTTGTGGTCGGTTTTGTAGAGTGTCAATAAATCGTATGATTCGAATTGTGTGGGTTTGATATAATTTTAACAGCTCGTTCGTACAAATTAGTGTGAATTTGTGTGCCGGCCCGAGAAATATAATATGGTGATCCGGTGCTAGGCGCTTATATTCCATTGCACAATCTGTCCATGTTAATACGTGCCATTAACAATGTCTCCATTGAACTATTGATGATATTACAAAAAGAATTGTTTCGCAAACGAACAATAACTTCTTTCATGTGCATCGTGTGGGCTTGGGACCGTTTTAATAACTTATTCCGGCAAAGTTAGTATTAATTAAAAAGAAATTAAGACTGCTTATACAATGTTAAGCTGCGCTGATGTATGACACGATTTGACATATGTTCTCGAAATTGCCTTTTTCAGCGAAATTCCTCGTAGGTGCTTGCTGGAGAAATCGGTTACCCAGTACTGGTTGCTAATAACGCCGGAAAGAGCAACAGCACGCCTTGTCGATATTAATAATTCAGCATTAACAACGTCTCGACTCTTCACTCAAATCTGACGATTTTAGTACAAGGCTCTTGACAATAACTTTCTTCCACGAAAATGCGTAGGCTTAAAGTTGTTTTGTATTAAATGAGCGTTAATTAAGGCACGGCTAACATTTTTCTCTCAGCTTTCTTTTTTTTTTCCTAAAGAGCGCAATAAACAAATTGTTGAAAATCGCTATGTATCAGTTTTCCTGTCAAATAAATCATCACTGGCGAATACCTCAACTATTGCACAACTAGTTTTATAATAAATCATCAATATCGGTGTCACCTGTTCCACTAATAATTCCGTAAAGCCCGCAATTACAAGGTGGCAGGTTTTCGCGAGCTTTCCTCGATGCCTGAAATTAAAAGATGGTCTTGCGTTGACTTGCTTTTGATGCAAATTTAATTTTTATCGTGATGGAAAGTGGATTGGTAAAACAGGTGGTAATGTCGTTGGGCTGGTATTCAGGTCTACGCGCACCGAAACCTCGCCGCAGATCAAAGGACAATTTGAATAAATAAACACAAAATAAATCGTAAGTAAACAAGTTTGGTGCTTTTAATGTGTAGTA